CCGAAGCGCCCCGCGCCTGGGGCGCGCCCGAGGCGCGCGCCTCAATAAGCCTGACTGGACTTGGGCGCCAAACATTTAGCTTGTATTGGAAACTCATCAGCTCTACAATATCATTATCAGCTAGGACATCCCTCTCTCTGTTTTCAAACTTCTAAATCCCCAGTTTAAATCTCTTTCCTCTTTAGAGTGTGAGTCGTGTCAACTTGGCAAACACTATCGTGTATTTTATCCTAATCGAGTCTCTTTCCTCTTTAGAGTGTGAGTCGTGTCAACTTGGCAAACACTATCGTGTATTTTATCCTAATCGAGTCAATAAGAGGGCTGCAAAGCGAGTCGTGTCAACTTGGCAAACACTATCGTGTATTTTATCCTAATCGAGTCAATAAGAGGGCTGCAAAGCCATTTGATCTTATTCATTCTGATGTTTGGGGGGCCATGTTCAATAACTTCTAAATTAGGATTCTGATACTTTGTCAGTTTTGTAGATGATCACTCTCGTGTTACTTGAATTTATCTTCTCAAGTCTAGGTCTGAAATCTTTTCTACATTTAAACTCTTTTATTCTGAAATAGTCAATTAATCCAAGATTTCGATAAAAAAAATTTGATCTGATAATGCAAAGGAATATTTGGATGGTAACTTCACTAGTTTCCTTGAACATGGAATTCTCCATCGAACTTCTTGTGTTTACACTTCTTAACAAAATGGAGTTGCTGAACGAAAGAATAGACATCTCCTTGATCTCTTTTCGCTTCCTCCAAAGATTTTTGACCCTCTGTGCTTTGTTCATAATCACAGTCCAAATAAACAAAAGTTTGACTCTCGGTCTATTAAAGGCATTTTTTTAGCTACTCTCGAAAACATAAAGGTTACAAGTATTTCTGTCCACCACTCAATCGCCTTGTGTTATCTGTTGATGTAACATTCTTTGAAGACAAATCTGGTTATTCTAGTTCTCCAACTCCATCATCGGATGGGTATGACTATTTAATCATACAAGAGTCATTGGTTAACGGTAGTGGTTCATCCATAGACAATACTATTTGCTCTACTAGCAAAGATCCTGCTCGGTTTAACGACCCAATTCAAGTTTATTATCGGCGTTCTGCTCCTGCTCCTAAGCCAACGTCGGACTCAACATCATGTCCTTCGTCAGAAGAACCAGAATCAGTCAGTGAAAATTTACCCTTCTGCGAAAGGCCTTCCTATTACACTTCGAAAAGGAACACAAACTTATACTCAACATCCTATTTCTAACTTTGTCTCTTATGATCGCCTTTCCTCCACCTTTCGATATTTTGTTACTTCTCTCGACTCATATTTGGTTTCCAAGAATATGTCAGAAGTCCTGTCTATTCCAGGTTAGAACAAAGCGATGCAAGATAAAATAATGGCCTTGCGACAAAATAAGACTTAGGATTTGGTCCCACTTCCACCAGGAAAGCGACACATCGGCTGCAAGTGGGTGTACACTATCAAATTGAATCCTGATGAAACTTTGGTACGCCTGAAAGCCCGACTTGTTGCTAAAGGCTATTCGCAGGTGTATGACTTAGATTACTTAGATACCTTCTCTTCAGTGGAGAAAATGACATCTGTTCGGATTTTTATCACATTAGCAGCGACAAATCACTGGCAACTTCATCAGTTGGACATCAAGAATGCATTTCTTAATGGTATTCTAGATGAGGAGGTTTAAATGGAGCAACCACCAGGTTTTGTTGCTCGGGGGAGAATGCGAAGGTGTGTAGGCTGAAGAAATCACTTTATAGTCTAAAACAATCTCTGAGAGCCTGGTTTGGATGTTTTGCATCGGTTATTCAGGAATTTGAGCTCTGTCGTACACAGAAAGATCACTCTGTCTTCTGGCGATTTCAGAATGGAAAACGAATTCTGCTTGTTGTCTATGTGGATGACATTGTAATTATAAGGGGATGATGCTTCTGGTATTGACAACCTGAAGAAGCATTTATAGACACATTTCCAAACCAAAGATCTTGGTTTCCTAAAATATTTCCTAGGCATTGAAGTCGCAAAGTCAACGAAGGGTATTCTTCTATCACAAAGAAAATACGTCCTGAATATGCTTTCAGAAACTAGGATGTTAGGATGCAGAAGCAGTGATTTTCCAATGAATGTGAACTCAAAACTACTACCAGATCAAGGGGAACTTCTTAAAGATATTGGACAGTATAGAAGATTGGTGGGGAAACTGAATTATCTGACGGTGATCAGACCTGACATCACATTCGCAATTAGTGTTGTGAGTCAGTTCTTATCTGCACCAAGAACTACTCATTTGGATGTAGTAATGAGAATTATGAGGTACTTGAAGAAAGCTCCAGAACGAGGAATTCTCTACTCAGATCAAGGACACATCAGAGTTGCAGGCTTCTCTGATGCAGATTGGGTTGGATGTCCTTTTGATAGGAGATCAACTACTGGATATTATGTCTTTCTCGAAAAAAATCTAGCGTCATAGAAAAGTAAGAAGCAAAGTGTTGTATCTCGATCTAGTGCAGAATCTGAATACAGAACTACGGCAAATGTGACACTAGAGATTGTTTGGATCAGAGACCTATTGACAGAAATTGGTTTCCCTCCAGAATGTCTCATGGATCTATATAACGACAATAAAGCAGCAATTCATATTGCTGAGAATCTCGTGTTTCATGAAAGAACCAAGCACATTGAAGTCGGCTGTCATGTAGTCTGTAAGAAGCTTGAGGATAAAATCATCACGGCAAAACATGTATCAACAGTAGATCACTTGGCAGACATTCTTACAAAACCACTTGGTCGAACACGGGTTGACTTTATTTGTGACAAGCTGGGCATGCATGATATATATGCTCCAGCTTGAGGGGGAGTATTAGAAGAAGAGAGTATTAGTTTAGTCCCACATTGCTTGTGAGACTAACTTGTAACTAATTCATCTTTATAAATAAAATATAGAATGAGGGGATAACTCTCCAATAATCTTTTTTCTCTCCAAACTATAACAATTATCAACATATTTTTCTGCCGGGGCAGTTATGAGTCTATCATGAATTGCTTTTATTTTCCTATTATTATATCAATGAACTCTTTCGCCTTTAGATCCCAAAAAGGAGGGAACCCCTTAATTTGATAGTAAGAGGTGTACCATTCAACAATGGCTTAGTCATCTTTCACCATTATTTAGCTTTTCCCTTCAACAAGCAGGCAGATCTTCTATTCATCCAATGACTCAAATATCTCAAAACTAGTCTTCACCTCTTTCAAAACGTATGCTTTTCTGCTCTGCATTTTTAAACACTGATCTCAAGAACTATATCAGCATTCCAACAACACCATGAAGTCATCAATCATTAACTTGATGTAAACTCAGCAATATGGTTGCAACGACCTTGATATGAACTGTTAACAAAAGAAAGGCTTTTAGGTAGTTTAGCTTTATGGATAACAATTGTTAAACAAAGTGAAGTTCTGTGAAGTAAGGAGTCAATTAAAAACTTACAACTGTTAAAGCCTCATCTCATTGTAGGATTAGATATTTAATTAACTTAGGATGCATTATTTGATTTCAAATTTGAATTTGAATCATTGAGTTTGATCTGTATTACAATTATTAGGCTTCAAATTTGAATTTGAGTCCTTGAGTTTGATCTGTATTAGGATTAGCTAGTTGGTTTGAGACTGGAATTTGAGTCTATTAATAATATTTGAGGAATTCTTCTGTGTCTATAAATACTATAGTAATTTCAGGTTTGGGGATTAGCTATTTGATTTCTGATAACTTTAAAAAGTTACGCATGTGATTTTCTAGCTTGGTGTGAGAACAAAAACCCCAATACTATTCTACCTCTCCTCTTTGTTTTCCTGCAGCTGACAGCACCTCCCCTCCTTTAATGTCTCCTGTTTTGCAGAGTTGCCCTTTTCATTTCTCTGCTCGCAACAATAAAGCCAAGTCCCTCTCAGTTCTGCCCTTTCTCGTCCTTCAAACAGCCAAGCCTCCCATCTCTCTCTTTCTTTTTCCCACAAAAAGAGCTGCCACCTATTCCTTCTCTTCTCCATCTGAAAACTTCTCCGTCTTAATAGCAACCAAAACCATCTCTTTCTCTTTCAAAAAGTTAACCAAAAACCCCCACAATAACTCCAGAACAGGCCCAAACCCACTCTGAACAGCCACAATCCGTCCCGACAGCCACCAAGCACCCCCGAACCCGGGGATTGAACTCAGATCAGCCCACAACTTCAAAACGAGCAAAGTTCCCCTCTTCTTCATTCTTCGTTCTTTGTCTTCAGTTGCTCACCCTTTACCCATCACTGTTTCTAATTATGCTAAACACTACATATCCTTCTTAATTGCTCCAACCAAGTTTGCCTGGCTAACTCTAATCCTCCTAATCCTATTGATTATATTCTTATCATTTCTCTTAATCGCTGCATCTAGTTCCCTCCATTGCACATGATACAGACCATCTAAATCTATTCATTTTGTCATTTCTCTTCAAAAGTAGGAATCTCTAATTACTTACAAATACGCTCATTTTATCGTATCTCCTGGTGTATATCCACACACCTATCATAACATTCTCATCTCTGTCACACTCATTTGTTGCACTTGTCATTTTCTTAATTGTCCAGCATTCTGCCACAATCAGATAGCCGGGAACATTCTTCCACTTTAATCACATTGATTTGATTCCTTGAACCATTATTTTCAACCCCACCACCTTGACATATGACTAATCTGAAATAGCAAAACTGAGTAATATACATATACTGACTAGCAGTATGCACATCAACAAAACCAGGACAATCATAATTTTTGAGAACCATCCCATGATACCTTGAAAAGGTGCAGTCAGCCAAACTGCACGATAAGATTTAACAGCGGGAAGAACCAAGATAAACATTCAGCAGAAAACACAAAATGATTCATGGTATCAAATAATTCAATCAATCGCATAACAAAATTATTGCTCTAAGTACTGATGTGGGAATTAATGACTTACAGATCTTAGATCATTGTCTTCATTCAACAACTTTCCACCTTCAGCATCAATTACAGCTCGTTGTTCAAGAAGATATTTCTAGAAAATAGAAAAAATAATTGTGTCAGTATAAATACAGTATTTTCCAAAGCTAGGGTAATCATGATCTCCAATACAGTTCTGACATGAATTTAATAGTATGCACCTACTCTATTAAAGCAAGACCATTAAAGAAACAGACTCAACATTCACTGAATATAAATTCATATTTGTATAAAATGTCAACACACATTGTCACCTAGAAAACAATGATTCGCTGTTAAGATTGGGGTGTGTTGACATATTATTGGCACCATGTAGAGGATAAGAAATGGCAGATTATGCAACACACAACACTGGACTGATGGAGGAAGGAGGAACAAGAAAAACGATGAGGCTTGAGAGGGTTGAACAAGAGAATATCAAATTTTAGTTTTACCCTCAAAACTTGTTACTTCCAATTTAAAATCAATAAAAGCAATCTTTTTATACAGACTGCGAGGATGTGAATCCATGCACATTGAAGCAAACATGTATAAAGAAATATGAGAAGTCCTCACCCACCCATGTATTATAGTTAACTTAATTATCATGCTCAGGAGTAGAACATATTTCTCATCTAACCAAAACTCATGTTTTTTCACTCTTATAGCAATATAGAAAAAGAGATCATTGTTTTACAGCAAATGGGCTTCCAGACATTAAATATCTTATATATCAACCTTAATATCATCTACATGGTTAAAAGGATCTTCACAAATATCGTAGGAGACACAATGTGAGTGTCTGCGTACGTATACACGTGTTTATGTGTCTTGTATAAAACTCTCCAAGGTCGTAGTTAAATTTTATAAGCATATGCCTTAAGCCCATCAAGCAAGGCAACCTTAAGCCCAAGCCCCTGTCCACATTAAGAATTGGGTTAAAACTTGGACCAAGTCTGACTAAAGATTTGTAAAGCACGACACACAAAATTTTGGATCTATTGTGATGAAGTAAGCAGAACTAGTTCAAGCCTTCCCCCTAGAATGCAGGGCGTTATCTGAAATTCATTGTATACTCATGTTAGAATAACTTTTGGATACTTGGGTTGGACCTATTGAGTACTGAACCCATATCCAATAAAGCTTGTATAATTCACGTTTTGATTTTGATTACCGTACTGAATCCGAGATTACTGTTCACTAGCTATTCACCAATGTGAGATTGTGATTTTTTGCATGTATCTGATATCATAAAAGTTCACCTCATAAGTATGGATCAGGCTAACTAATATAACAGGAGTTAGATGGGACTTGACAGCATTCCAGAACAAGTAATGATGCTGCCAAAGACAGATGGTTTACAACAATAGCTTAATATAGTTGAAGTTGAACCTGAGGCAACATGTTTGCAGCAGAAGAGATGACAACTGAGATTGATCGCTCCTAGCAGAAAAATAAGGAACCAACCAACAGAAGTTAATCTCTCGAAATAGAGCAAACTATCTGTAACTGATGAACAACTAAAGAGAGGACAAAGTATCTGTAATCCATAAAATGTAACAGTATCAAGATAGAAGTTCATCTAACAAGAAAAAAAGAACATTAATAATGGGTTATGGAACTCAACAGACAAACAAATACTTAGAAACATAATTTAAAATTGTATGCTGATAATAGGATACATAAATAAGAAAACTAAAATTTGTTTAGTAGCTAGATAACAACAAATATAGCAGAAATAATATAACTAAAGATTAGAGCCTAACAGTGAGAAAGGGGAAGAATATGAACAGTAACAACTAAGAAAACTATAAGAATAGGAACAAGACAACAATATGAACAGTCCATTGTAGATAATTAAGACAAACATGGTCTGATGGGAGATATATTGAAACAACACCCCGAGGTGCCAATGCTACAGGTTTAAACAAAGTGGGAATGGACTAAATGTATAGCATTTACAATAAGTATATCCATTTTCTACAAACAAATAAGGGTATGGATATGGTTCAGTAAGGAACAAACATTTTCATAAAAGTTATGAATTGGATGGGAATACAAATATCTCTTATACATGATGGAAACGAGTATGATTTTGGAAGTAACAGGATATGAAATACAATAACTTGCTAAATACAACAGATCATTCCAATTAGAACCCACAAATAGGTCTGAAATACAAAAGGAGAAAGTTTGACACTTGGATCAATAAAAATCAACTTCAGGTCCACTTATGACTTATCTGAGGGCAAAGAAGGTTTGGTTGTTTGATACACACAAATATATGTGGATCAATATCAATTTTTTTACCTATATCTGTATCTGTCAAGTAATATGAAAAGATTTCAGTCTGTACCCGACCAGATACGCATATATAATACCAACATTTGCATCCCAATTAGATACACATGCAGATATATCCATCGGTGCTTGTTCCTGCTAGCACCTCTAAGCAATGTTTGTTACATACAAACATGCTATGCCCATGTGGTTCCAGTGGACTCTCGTTACCACGACACGTCAAGGGAGATGTATAGTGCCCACCCACATAAGAAGGATCGTAAGAGTTTACTCTCCCAGGCAAAAGAAAACCAAATAAAAAGAATTTGATGATCAAGGGAAGAAAGAGGGAAAGGAATACAGTTATATTTTCACATGTCAATGTCATCAGTCATCACCGATATGCATCCTTGACGGAAGCAATGCCCTAGGGTGAGTACCAATGGCATGAAGTGCAGCTCTTTTTTTCTGACAATGCCTAGTTCAGGCTTTTAACCCCTAATAACTTTTCCTCCAATACTAACTATATAAAGGGTACTTCTGGGTGGTTATGTAAAAAATGGAACACAGAAAAAAATTAATGAAGAAATAAACACAACCTCCACATGTATAAGATAAACATTCAAATGTTCCTTACTCTTTTTACAAGCTTTGATAGCATGTCTAATGTGGATAAAACTTTACGCCCCTGAGTAAGCTGAGTCCTGAGGCAATAATAGATCACAGAAAAGGAGTAATATTACTATAGTCCAAAATTAAACAAGAAACAATTGTGAAATAAAGCATATATAATATATAAAAGGAAAAAATCATGCCCCGGTCCTGTTAGACTATGAAGCACGGACACGCATAACATGAAGCCGTGTTGTGTCGTGTCCGTGTCGGACACACGTGTCGAACACACGTATCCTATGTATTTTTTAGGATTTGCCTCGTCGTGTCGGACACACGTGTCGAACACACGTATCCTATGTATTTTTTAGGATTTGCCTCGTGTCAGCGTGTCGGATGGCCGTGTCGATTTTTTAGGATTTGCCTCGTGTCAGCGTGTCGGATGGCCGTGTCGGATCCGTGTCCGTGCTACATAGCTGTTAGACCGTTGGCAAGATGTAAGTCATGTGACCTACGGAATGCAACATATAGTTTGACTCAATCCACTGCAAAAATTAACTAGTTAATGTTGCACTTGACTCTTGGGCTTACATGATAAATCATTCAATCAATCTATCAATATCCAATGAGGGACTAAATCTTGATCTTAATTATGCGACATCCTCGTCGAGGCATGACAACGGTTCATCTTAGTATCACCACCAAGCGATATGGACTGTAAAGTTGGCTCCTACGGGCTTCTAGAGGTAGCTCCCACCACACTCCAAGCCCACGAGCCCGTTGGCGCGATGTAAGTTCTGGGACCCATAGATTTCAACACATAGTTTTGCTCAATCCAGTACCAAAATTGACTAACACATAGTTTGGCTCAATCCACTGCCAAAATTGACCAATTTTGGCAATGGATTGAGCCAAACCATGCATTGCATTTTGTGAGTCCCATGACTTATATTGCGCCAACGGGCTTATGGGTCTAGAGCGTAGCAAATGTTATCAGAACGGTTAGTTAGTCCGAAATGTAGAGCTAAGTGCTCTACAGGACTAAGTACTATAGCGCATGTGTAGTAGGATCCACGTCTAGAAGCTCATGGGAGACACCTCTAGAAGCCTGTAGGAACCACGTCTAGAGAACACATAGCCTGGTTGTGATACTGGGACAGACCATTATCATGCTGCGACAATGGGAGCCACAACTAGAAGCCCGTAAGGGTCACCTCTAGAGTCCACATCACATGGTAGTGACACTAAGATGGACCATTTCATGCTACTACGAGGACAGCGCATAATTAAGGTCAAGATATAGTCCCACATCAAATATTGATCGAGTGACTGAATTGTTTATATTATAAGTCCAAAAAATCAATTGTATCATTGACTGGTCAATTTTAGCTATGGATTGAGCCAAACCATGTGTTGCACTCTATGGGTCACAGGCTTACATGGTGCCAACGGGCTCGCGGGTCCGGGACGTGACAAGAAATGTTTGGTTATGTCTAGTAAATCATAAGTGCAATTAAAGATAAATCCAAGTGGAACTATACAACATTACTAAGAATTCATATATAATGATATACAATGAATTCAGTGAACATAGGTTTGTTATCACTATAGATTTCCTCCATACAAGACCTTCTACATCACTATATGACCAGGAAAGAGAGATGCATGAAAAAATTATCCAAAAATAAGACAATAAGAATAAAGATGAAAAAGATATTTAAAATTTCATCACGACAGAAAAGCACTTGTGCATTATGATGCAATTGTAAGAAATGACATGCTCTTTTGGAATGTGCACCTCCTCTCTACTCATCACTGTTAAAATTAAAAAAATTCATTTATGTTGTTGCATAAAAAGCTTTGGCTCAATTTCAACATGAATTGGATCAAATATGTCAATTTGCAACCCAGTTATGGTAAATGCACCCACATTAGCGCTTAGTTTAACTTAATCAGGTAAAACTTAATTAAAAAACAAAACTAGACCCACTTACCTAAACTGCTTTAATTTACAACATCTTAACATCCCCTCAACCCAAAAATAAAAATAATAAAAGTAAACATGATCTCGCTATTATCTCTCTGTCACCACTGATCCCCACACCAACAGTTAGATTCATGTATAGGTCAAGAATACTTGTATGGGGCACCCAAGAATGTAGCGCCCTCTCCCCAACCGCTAGATTCAGGCATAGGCTAAGAATACTTAATCAGGAGCACTCAAACATGTAGATGATGCTTCATCAATTTGAGGTGGTTGTACAAAGAAAAAGTCTAATGGTTACAATGCATTGAGTTGTGGCGCCTATCAATATGAAAAGTCGTGGCGCCTATCAATATGAAAAGGATGGGAGGAATGACGATGTTCTCAGTGACAGAATATAATTATGCGCTTTGTGATTATCAACAAAGCATATTTTTGTAATTCTACGTAATCTGTTTAATTAGTGTATAATTTGATTATGCTCCATGCGCTTCAATACCAAACGCACGCTGAGACTTTGTTTTAGAACATTGCTCTTCATGCATAACTACCACACCTTATCACTCATCATTCAGACTAAATTAAAATGCTCTTGTATAGAATAAAAGCTATGAGGCCGTAGAGATTGCCTACAGCATAGTATAAGCTATAACAGAAGATTAGAGAGGCGCACAGGGGTACATCCAAAGTGAAGAAGGTAGATTCTATTATTAAGTGATTTCAATTTGTTCTCCTTGCCCTTAAAGTCATGCAGGAATCATCAACTAGGCCTTGTGCATAACCACCAACCTTGCGTTCTCTTTTCTTCCCCCACTGCTCAAGAGCTATGTTGTATGGGTACGGGTACAGGTACAAACACCAGTACGGGTACAAAACACGACAAATTTGTAAAAGGTACGGTACAGAGACCATCTATATAAATATTTATATACACATATATTATATATTAGAATTAATAATTTATATGAGAACAAGAATGAGAATTTGAATTCATATAACATTGTTGTGTTTCGTTTATTATGTGAATTATAAATTGGAAATTACTAGTGTCTGAACTAGACATCCAAAAAATCGTACTTCGGAACCTGACCTATGTCCAACAAGTTTCAAAAAGTAAATATGTAGGATATACATCCAAAAAATGTATGACTAATGTTTAAGTTAAAACGTGTATCGTATAATTGGGTACATACTCGAATAAATATATACATATATGCAAGGAGTGTCCAAGGAGTTTGGATATGGATGTGTGTCTGGTACTGGTACGACTTCATATTAGAAGTACCTACGTAACATAGTTCAAGAATGATGGAGTCTCCTTCCATGAAAACTCGAGATGCTCCTAGGACCTCAACTGCAAGCCTAAGTTCAGCCCATGCAACTTAAGGCTCACATGTGAAATTGATAACCCATAAACACCAATTGTTTCAATATAGACAACTCAGCATTTCTCCTTTCTAATAAGAAAATACTGCTTTAATACATGTTTTGGATAAGCATGTATCTGCTTATAAGCATTTGATCAAGAGGACGTGAGTTGTTAATCCTATCAATGATAAGCCAGGTGGATTCTTGCTATGAGATTAGTATTCTATGATGGTGTTTGTGGGGTTTATATTTTGGTCAAAGTAGCTTTTAAGCTAGCTTTTCCATATCTACATGCTTGGTAACATCCCAAACAAGCTAGCTGTTAAATCCCAATTAAAAGGTTAGGGTTCCCATCTTCTGAAAAATTAGCATGGTAGCATATAATCTCACCTAAATAAGTCTGATTTGACCAAGCAAATGACTACCCTACTGACACAATTTTTATAAAATATTTATCAATGGAGGCAAAAGCCACCAAAAGCTAACATATCAACCCCACCCCCAAAAAAAATCCACAAAAAGAAAGAACCTCTTTGTCTAGGGCCCTTCAGATCCATAATCATTACATTGGGCACCGGAAAATCCTTTTTTTTTGTCTTTTAACCAAAATATGGTTATTTCGACAAAATAGGTTAGACATTGCAGATTATGAACTTAAAATTTGTTACATTGAATACTCGGTGTTGTCTAAAAATTGGTATGTGCAGCCAGCTACCTAAGCAAATGGCATTCAAGAGAGTTATGAACTAGCCTATACTCCACAAATCATATGCATTTTTCGAGGAAGAATGTATAGCTAATGATTATTGTAACATTAAAAACATATATTTTAGAAGGACGTGATTAAGTATTTTAGACAGAAAGAATAAAGCACCTTTTAAACGTTCCCGAGACCTTTGCGCCAAATATGTCAGTGGCAACTGACACAAAGCTACATTTCCTGATAGTAGATACCTTTTCGACATAGTCAATAACCTAGAGGATGTGAAGACATGCAGCACAATATATGTGACAATGAATGTATAAAGACCAAGATACTTAAAGGAGCATCAACATTAAAAAAAACGCACAGGATGAAAGATGGCAACACAAATAATAATTAAAATTGAAAAACTTTTGACCTTCTTCTTTTCTTCTTTATCACCTGGCAGAAGGGCTTTGAAAGCTTGACGAAAAGAACTATCTTCACAGCCAGGCAATGTTGTTTTAAGCATTGCCATAATGGCCTTGATTACCTATTACGGAAAAGACATTATGAGTCAAAAATAACTGTAGGAGAATAAGTGCGAAAAGGATAAGTAGACAAGATTCACCTGCCAATAAAAAGACAATATAAGTAAAAAAGGAAATGGTCGCATATCATAAATCACATTGAGTTTATAAGCACAAAGAATAATGTGAATGACTTATGCCCATATTCAGTTCACCAAGGAATTAAAATGAACAATATAGAGAAAGGAAATAAACAAGGATAGGTAAAAACAAATGCATGTCAATGATAAAAAAGCCTATGGTGCTTTAGACTATAAGAAGCCTAATTATATGTAATCCTGATGTAGTACTGATGAGCCTGGTAAAACATTCAAATTTGTATAAACAAATTACGACAGATATAAACTTTAGCAAAATCGGAATTAGAAATTACTATGATTATTGCACAAGAAAAAGTTTAAAGCTCATGCGTCTAGAATAATTAAATATGAGACATTGAATGGAAACTGATGAACATAGTACAGAAATAGGATGAATCACCAACCTACTTAAGATAATCTACTAAATGTCACAACTACAGTTAAAATTCCTACATATTTGTGTGACACATAACTGCATAAGGTAAATAATTGCCAATTGTCCATGGTTGTGATATAACACTAAAATGTAATGTCTGGCCCACTTAAGCTAAGAAACTGCACAGAAGCATATATGTAAAAAATTTATATTCATTAACCACAGATAATATGAACATAACAAAAAAAGAATATTAAAGCACACATCATGAGGCATACAATATCACAGATCCACTTAAACTAGTTAGTGTTGTACAACGTTTTGCTGCCCAACATATCAATTAAGTTGTCAAAATGAGAGAACTGTGTTGAAGATATACAAAGATGCCTACCGCAAACTAGAATGGTGTCACCGTGTCAGTAGTAAAAGGGATGGCGGTGTAGGAAACCCTACATTCGGTCCAGTTTGTTCCATAAAAGAAAAAGAACAGATGCATGCCATCAAATTGTAACCTTACTATTACCAATCTGATTATCATACAAGCAGAACAAGATGATAATAAGTAAGCACTAGCATAACCAATGAACTAGTAATCTTTTCTTATACTTCAACTGCATGGTTATAGGGGGCAGTAATTACCAAAATAGGGCAAGTAATAATATGATTTGAGTGAGAATCACCGTAAATCAAAAACAGATTACAATGTTATTCTTATAATTCTAAGTCAATGATTCTATACGCTTGAAATGGACAAGCACCAGCAACCTTTTTCCTATAGAAAGCCACACCATGAATGTTAAAGGGAATTTTTCTGTCACGGAAGGACATCTGGAAAGCTCTACCAGATATCTGCATAAAGTTGATCGAAGTGTCTATTAGAAAATTATATCCCAGTAAAAGTTCACAGCCTGCTGTTTGAATTTTCACCTGCCTCCTGTAGAGGATTGCAACATTGCTAAAGGAGCACTTGTCAACTGAACAATCAGATGTAATTTCTAAGATTTTGTCAATGACAAATGCACATTGAGCATCTTCAGTACGGCATTCTTTAACAAGAATCTGAATTGTATGAAGGATCAAACATGTGAAGCGGCTAAATTACCAGGTTGGCCTATAAAGTGACAGCCCTTTACCAATAAGGCCTAAAAAATGACATCCGGCGACAACAAAACCTAAAAAGTGAAAAGTGACACACTTAACCGACAATGCATATTCCAGTCACCGGAGTTTTGATTTGAGCGACAGAATTTAAGTATTTTTTTGCGTATATACCCCTCAAATCTCCCACACTTATAGTTTTGCCCTCCAAGTTCAAATATTTGCCAAAAAAACCCATCATCCGGGGATGTTTTTTTTTTTTGCAGAGGGTAAATCTATACATACGGAAGATTTGAGGGGTATATATGCAAAAAAAAACTTAATTTTGCCACTCAAATCAAGACTCTGGTGATGCAGAGTATACCTTGTTGATTAAGTGTGTCACTTTTTTAGGTTTTGCCATCATCGGCATCAGTTTTTAGGCGTTATTGGTTAGGGGTTGTCACTTTATAGGTAAATCTGATAATTTAGCTGTTTGAAGCACTAAATTTCATAAGAAGGATGGTAATTGGGCACACAATTGAATTCATTGCTATGAAGCACAAGCTTGGCAAGGATACTTTACAGCCATCAGAGTTATCAGTCTCAACTTGCTTATGTTGGCATCTTTTGACATTGTGGTGAATAAGAGATGACGCTGCCTCAACAATACATCGGGTGGAACGATAGTTCTTCTTCAATTTTATCTGCAATTTAACAAAGATAAAAGAGAGGAAACCTTAGAACTAATTCAGCAATTGCTTTGCAGTCATAATATCCAACAGA